GAAGGGTAATCACACACTACTGCAGTAAATAGAAGAGTAATCACACACTACTGCAGTAAATAGAAGGGTAATCACACACTACTGCAGTAAATATAAGGGTAATTACACACTACTGCAGTAAATAGAACGCATTTACCGCTTGTTTTACTACACGTTTTGGTGCGTGTTTTGCTGTATTTTACTCTGTTTTCCTGCATTGCGGCGTGCCACCGGATCACTTCTGCTGGGTTCTACTGCGTGTTCTGCTGTGTTCTACTGCATGTTCTGCTGTGTTCTACTGTGTGTTCTGCTACTGCGTGTTCTGCTACTGCGTGTTCTGCTGTGTTCTACTGCGTGTTCTGATGTGTTCTACTGCATGTTCTGCTGTGTTCTACTGCGTGTTAGAACACGCAGTAGAACACAGCACAACACGCAGTAGAACACAACAGAACATGCAGTAGAACACGCAGTAGAACACGGCAGAACACGCAGTAGAACACAGCAGACTGTGTTCTACTGCGTATTCTGCTGTGTTCTACTGCATGTTCTGCTGCGTGTTCTGCTGTGTTCTACTGCATGTTCTGCTGCGTGTTGTGCTGGGTTCTACTGCGTGTTCTACTGCATGTTCTTTTGTGTTCTACTGCGTGTTGTGCTGTGTTCTACTGCGTGTTCTACTGCGTGTTCTACTGCGTGTTCTGCTGTGTTCTACTGCGTGTTTTAATGCTGTTTTCTCACGACTTGCAGCACCACTGCCGTAACTGCGGTGTCGTCGTCTGCGGGCCGTGTTCCAACAAGAAGTTCCTGCTGCCGCACATGTCGTATAAACCTGTGCGAGTCTGCCTCACCTGCTTCGACTTCTGCTGTGTTCTACTGCGTGTTCTGCTGTGTTCTACTGCGTGTTCTGCTGTATTCTACTGCATGTTCTACTGCGTGTTCTGCTGCGTGTTCTGCTGCGTGTTGTGCTGGGTTCTACTGCGTGTTCTACTGCATGTTCTTTTGTGTTCTACTGCGTGTTGTGCTGTGTTCTACTGCATGTTCTGCTGTGTTCTACTGCGTATTCTGCTGTGTTCTACTGCATGTTCTGCTGCGTGTTCTGCTGGGTTCTACTGCGTATCGAAGCAGGTGAGGCAGACTCGCACAGGTTTATACGACATGTGCGGCAGCAGGAACTTCTTGTTGGAACACGGCCCGCAGACGACGACACCGCAGTTACGGCAGTGGTGCTGCAAGTCGTGAGAAAACAGCATTAAAACACGCAGTAGAACACAGCAGAACACGCAGTAGAACACAGCAGAATACGCAGTAGAACACAGCAGAACATGCAGTAGAACACGCAGTAGAACACAGCACAACACGCAGTAGAACACAAAAGAACGAGCTCACCAAGGGCAAGCAGCCAGCCCTTCATGGTCAGTCTCTGACGTCAAGGTTGCGAGGGCGGGGTCAATGTCGGGCTAGGGAATTCAATAATCTATTTTTAACGATCCTTACGACGTGTGGAAGAGATTTAGAATGTTTAATTTAGATAAGAAATATGTTCAAAACTGTGTAGAATAAAGTAGAAATTGTGTAGACTAAGTGGAAATGCCAAAAGCGGTTATCTCACTGTTCAACTGCCACTCAAGGGAAACATGTATTAAACTGACTATACTATTAGCGAAAGGGCGACACGAACAACTAGACAGAGGGCACTCACGAAGAGTGCATACCTCCGCCAGCATGTAACATGTATGTGTTATGAGCTGGCTCGCTGCTGGCTGCTGCGACTGACTTCGCCTGCTGCCTGATCGACGCGGGTCTATCGATCAGCAGCGCCGCGCGGCACTGGGACATCACACCAACACCACACACACACCCCAGGCACACACACACATCACACACACCACGAGACCGATTACATTACCTCCCCTCCACTCTGTTACTCCGTTAACTCCGTGGGCGGAGCTAATCATCCAATTCACTGCTGCTTTACTTTGGAGGTGTATGAGTGCCTAGTTATTGGTTCGAATCTTTCTCTTTGAAATCTTTCTAAATGTGTATTGATCTTTATCGACCGGTAGGTCCCTCTGGTGGCGCTCAGAAGACTTCTCCGGTCGCAGAAGCACCCAACTCACAGGACACGTCCGGAGAGGACTCGGACTCTGACGACGATGCCACGGAGAACGTGGCGCCCCCTGTCAACAATGAGGTAAAGTTTTTTCATCGCTGACACCTCGTCGTTTTCTTCTTTTGTTTTATTTCCTCCTTAGTTTTCTTTCGCGACTCGGGGTAGCATAGCGTGCCCCGAAGCGACGAATATTCCGACACTAGGTCTGTCACCATCGTTGCTTGCTTGCGGGAGGCAAGTGGACTTCCCACCATCGTTTTGCTACTGATACTAGTACCATCACCCTGAATCGACGAATAGTTGAACGTTAAGTCTGTCGCCATCGTTGTTAGTCGCTCTTCACCGTTGCTACGGGAAAGAAAGGCACTGCCCACTGTTGTTGTCTCAGCTGCTACCCGCTGCGGTGGGGTAGCATAAATGTGGATTTACGTGTGAGCGCTGCACGGGAGGCTAATCGCATTCCCATTGTCTCACAGGCCAGGTTTTTCGGCGACGAAACGCCGGCATCAGCAGAGAACACTCAGCCAAAAGCAGCCGAAAACGACGACCCGGTGGCCGCTGCCGTTGCTGCCGCCGTCGCCGAGTGCAACCAAACGGGAGCCGCCGTTGCCGAGGGCAACAAAACAGAAGCTGTCGTCGCCGAGGGCAACACGACGGAAGCTTCTGTTGCCCCGGGCGATGTTATGGAAGTTGCCGGGGGCGACGCGAAAACGGAAGCCAATTGCGCGGAGCCGCCAGCCTAGGCGAGGCGGGACACCCCCTGCAGCAGGTTGCCATAGTTACCCTGCCGACTCTCTCAAACAACAAACTTTTCACGAACGATTTGCTATATTTTATCTACCAATCACAGGAGTATTTTCGTACGACCCCCCGTCCTCGCGTTCCCAACACGCATACGTTTTTTTAAATTCTCATGCCCCCTTTCGCGTCTCTGCCGATTGCTTCGTCACCCGCGCGCAGCATTCACGATTTAGAGCGGCTGGTCACCGGAGCGTTTCTGCGTGCCTCGCGGTCTCTCCCACGCTGGTGGCGCGTCCTAGTAGAGGGCGAAACCGAGCGTACATCTTGCCGCAGACCGGGGATGGGATGACATTACAAGCAGCGCGCGTGTGTAACGTCATGGGTTAGTGTTGGCCGAGGATACGACACCTGCGGTAGTCGATGGTACTGCGGTAGTGAATACGTAGCCTGCGAGGACCGTACATGTATCAGGTAACCCACGAACAATGGGCAAATTAAGTTAGACAGTACAGGTAGCAACACAGAGCAAGTACAGGTGGGAACGAGTTGTCGACGGAAAGCTACATGACTAATCTTTGATCGTGTCACATGGCAAATTACAGCTACGATGTCGACGATGATTGTACATAAGTTTGACGCGGTGATGTTGACGACGATGGATAAAGCAGGGAATGCCATGCAGCCTTGCTCACTCACTGTATAGCAGTTATCGCGGTAGCGGGCAAAAATCACGCCAGTTACGATTAGAGTGTGTTAATTAAGTAATTATGTTTCATTAATTATGTAATTATTAATTGGGAGATGAAGTGTTGTAAACCAGTGCTACTGCCCCAGCATGCGACGACAGCATTTAGGTATTTCACGCCGAGTTCAGTTATTGCACTCGTCTATTAATAAGTCTTTTATCGCTCGTCATCGTCATAGATTAATATAAGAAGAGAAAGAGAGAGCATGCGAGGGTTCATACGTCTGTTGATATTTATATACACCGTACGTACGGACGCGTGGAATCACTATTGCCACAGGAATTCATCGTAACAGCTGGTTCATCATCATTCATGCATTGTGCTGCATGGTGAACAGCTGGTTATGTCAGGGGTACGTTAACGATTTATAATTACGTTGTAACATCGTTATTGTACTCTTGACTACATCGGGGGTACATTCATGATTTATAATTACGTTGTAACATCGTTATTGTACTCTTGACTACATCGGGGGTACATTCATGATTTATAATTACCTTGTAACATCGTTATTGTACTCTTGACTACATCAGGGGTACATTAATGATTTATAATCACATTGTAACATCGTTATTGTACTCTTGACTACATCAAGGGTACATTAATGATTTATGACCGCATTGTAACATCGTTATTGTACTCTTGACTACATCAGGGGTACTTTAATGATTTATAATCACATTGTTAGCATCATTATTGTACTCTTGATTACGTCAGGGGTACATTAATGATTTATAATTTGATTGCTAGCATCATTATTGTACTCTTCATTACATCCGGAGTACGTTAACGATTAATATTAATTAGATCGCTAACGTCGTTATTGTACTCCTGCTTACGTGCGTGTGTTATGTAGTTTTGCTAGAAATCACGTGGTCGAACTTTTATGATCTACTATGTATATCGTTCACTCCTGGTTATTCAATCGTGTGCAGGATTCGTGTAAATACAAGCCTTATGATCGCATTCAGGTAAACATTGTTATTCATTAACGACGAATCGATGGAGGTGAGGCGGGCGTGTGACCTCGCACGTGCCGTTTCCATGGTAACGTCAAAGCTGGGAATGTTATGCCCGGCACACATTATTTTGCGGAGTTATTTTACTCAAATAAAATGAAGCATGAGTCAGTTTACTCACGTGTGCGGCGGATTTTCGTTGAGTAATTTGACTCATGCGTCATTTTACTCACGTGTGCGGCGGATTTTCGTTGAGTAATTTGACTCATGCGTCATTTTACTTGAGTAAAATAACTCAGGTGTGCGCCGGGCTTTAGGGGCCGAGCACTTGGCTACCTACCCAGGTGATCTAACCTGGTGGGCTGTAATACGTCGTGGTCGGTCGGTGGTTGGGGCGCTTTGATGACGCTGGGTAATGGTAAGCCGCGTGTCTGCGCTAGCGTGCGCGGTTACCTCCCCCACCCTAGCGCGTGGATGTTACAATGTACTCCTCCCTCTCTTACACGCGCGCTTCTTATCTTTGCGCTCCTAATGCCCACCTCCCAAAACCCCTGCCGCTCCCCCCGCCTGCTGCTCCGTAGTGATGGCTTCGTCACGTGGGCGAGGGTGCAGCGGAGTATGTTCCTTCGTTCGCGTTAACCAACTCTTGCCAAACACCAACCTCATTCTCCGTCGATTCGCGCACTTCCAACATCTCGCATGTATTTTCTAATAAGATTCGCGCATGTCTCTATCCGCGTCCGACCTCTACGCGTGGGTGAAAGACGTGCGTGCGCGTGCGATGACGTCACCGAGTGTTGTATATGCATGGCAACCAGACGCGTGATTTTGGCGATACGAATCTAGCGTTAATTACAATCGTCACATTCCTGTTCGCCTCTTTAATATTAAAAGCAAATAAAAGGTTTTTTTGATTGATCATGAATTTGTTTGTTTATTTTCGGTAATTTTCGTCATTGATTAATTGCAAGCTGCAAAGCAATACAAACACAGTTTTGATAAGTCGAAA